TACCGCCCGAGGCACCGTAGTAGGTGTCGCTTTTCGTGGCTGGTCGGCCGACGACCCAAGGGGTGTGCGGACTTTTTTTCGGCGTCGGCGCCGCGGCTCCGCCGCCGCCGCCGCCCCGCCGGCGCCTCGCTTCGCGCGGCGAGCCCGTCGTGCCGGGCGTGCCGTCGTGGCGGCGGCGCGGCCGTGTTTTTTACCGCCCGAGGCACCGTAGTAGGTGTCGCTCTTCGTGGCTGGTCGGCCGCCGACCCAAGGCGTGTGCGGACTTTTTTTCGGCGTCGGCGCCGCGGCTCCGCCGCCGCCGCCGCCCGCCGGCGCCTCGCTTCGCGCGGCGAGCCCGTCGTGCCGGGCGTGCCGTCGTGGCGGCGGCGCGGCCGTGTTTTTTACCGCCCGAGGCACCGTAGTAGGTGTCGCTCTTCGTGGCTGGTCGGCCGCCGACCCAAGGCGTGGGCGGACTTTTTTAGGTGTTGGAGGCGCGGCTCCGCCGCCGCCGCCGCCCCGCCGGTGCCTCGCTTCGCGCGGCGAGCCCGCCGTGCCGGCCGTGCCGTCGCCGCGGCGGTGCGGCCGGGTTTCACCGCCCGAGGCGTGGTTCTGCACTCGCTTTCTCCCGCTCGGCTCGGGCGCATCAAGGCGGTACCGGATTCGGCGCTGCCCCGGCGCTGTGCCGCCCGCTCCCCCAGCGCGCTACGCGTGGCGCGCCATGGGTGTGTGATGTGCTGCCGTGTGGCCCCAGCCGTTTTGTGTCTTTCGTGTCCCATGCGCCCCCGAGATGTCTCTCTCTGTGTGCGGGTGCCGATAGAGAGTGAGAGAGCGCGAGTCATATCATGAGGCAATGTTGCTGAAAAAAATGTCATTGCGTGTGCCAACAATGCCGAATCGGCACGCCAATCCGACTTCGACTCGAAACCCTCCACTCTCGCTGACCCTGATGGCCCGCTTTTGTCACTGGTGTGTGGTTGTGCGCGAGACCGTCACAACGCCGAGTGCTATGGCATTCTATCAGAAGAGGACGCGTCGCCGGCAGATGTTCAGGCAGATGTTCGGAATGGTCGGCGGTGTGCGTTGCCGCAGCCCAAGGGGCGATTGCCCTGCTCGCTCAGGTGGTGAGACGCTCACAGCGTTGGTGTGACGGCTGCTATCACATACCGCGGTCAGAATTCGGAGAGTCCCTGCATCCGGATGCCGCGGGCGGTGCCCACGGCATGCGTTGCGGCCCTCCCGAGGCCCCCGAGGCTCCCTAGGCCCCCCCGCGCCCTCTCGCGGCCCTCCTGCAGCCCGGCGGGCCAGCGGCAAATCCGGCAGGTGAGTCGGCTCGCCGCCCGACCAGTCGGCTCCCACCCGGGTGTGTCTCCTGGCCGGGGTTTTGGCACCTCCTAGTAATATATGAGAGATCCGTGGAGCGTGGTGAGCAGATACCCAGAATCTCCAGCCCCTCGAAAACCGCCTATTTTAATTCATTGCGGCCGCGGGTTTGCTCGGATTACTTTTCCCTCGAAGACATGCTAGATTTTTTGGCGTTCCGGTGCCTACGAAAAATAAGCTGGGGCGCGGCGCGGTGGAGCACGAGTTTCACTGCGAGCACAGCACTACGAGGACGGACTTGTACATTTACCAGGGCGTGATTGGGGACCTGCCCTGCATCGGCGACACGAAGATCTTTGCCGGTGTGCCGTCGGACCCCTCGGGGGTGGGGCGCATGGGGGCGTTCGTCGCGTGCGGCAAGGCTGGTGGGCGCGCGCAGCGCGTCGGCGCCACTCCGACTGGTCGGGCACCTCGGCTGGGTCCATCAGCACGAGGCCCGCCCCGTCGGGGAGCCCCGCGAGCGCATGGGTGGCCGGCGCGAGCGGAGGACGGCGGGCCGAGATCTCGCTGTCTTCGCACGAAAACACAAGGCGCCAAGGGGGGGGGTGGAGCCTCGGTACCCTAGAGACGGATTTGGAGGGCGAGCGCCGACGGGCTCGCAATCTCGAGTGCGACCAGTGGGTCGTCGCCTGTGCAATATCGAGTTTGGTCGCCGCTAGCTACAGTGGGCCCACTGTAAACGGTGCGACTGGGTCGGGCGGCGATCAAGGGTGTTGCTGGAGGCTTCGGCGTCCAGCGTGGGCATGGCAACTATACACAGAGCATGATGCGTCGAACCTCAGTCCCCCCCTGTGAGCAAACGTAAGCGTAAGACCCGTCGCGTGCGCGCGGCAACACTTCTTGGCGGCAACACCGGGCTTGGACGCCACCGCGTCTACGCCCACCCTCCCTCTTCAAGC